TAATTAAATATCAATATTTATTTGCGTAAATTGTTTATGCACACACACATATATACCTTTTCACGTGTGTATGTTTGTGGGTGTGTGTGTTCGCGTCAATTAAGTCGTCCGCGCATATTTTGCAGGCACTCACAACACTCAATATTTACTCGCTTGTCGATTTGTGAGCGCAAATAATAAAGTTGAAAAGCGCAGAATTAGTGTAAAAGCAAAAAACGGCAACAACAAAAAAAAAAAACAAATGCACAAGAAACCAATTGAAAATTGAGAAAAAGACGGCAAAGGCGCTCATAAGCCAGCAGATTGACTACCGGCTAAATACAACTAGTTGGTATAATCACAAACACAACAACAACAACAAAATGCATATTACCAATGCAGCTAGTAGTAACGGTAATTGTGGCGTTCATTGGTGTTTGTGCAGCGGTGGCTTATTAAGCGGTGCGGTTGTTGTTGTTGTTGTAATGCACGGTTCGCTCGTTAGCCTTCGGTGATAGTTGGCAATGGCTGAGGACAGCAGTATAAGTGTTAGTGTTGTTTTTGTTGGCGCTACTCGCTAACGATTATCGATAAGCAATTGAGAGCCACCAAGCAGCGGTGGTGTGGGGAATTGACTGCTCACCAATAATGCTAACTGACTGCCAACCCGCCAGTCCATCAAATTGACGCATTATGTGCCGTTAGGCGCGCGCACACCATTGCACACCATAAACTATGGATCGTAATTGACCACGCCATGCAGTTTTTAATTTACCGTTGTATCCGTTGCGGGAGGGGCGGCTGCTGGTGAAATAAAAGTAAATAGTAGCAGAGGCCTGCTTACCCCCAAAATGCAGCGAGAGGAATTTAAATCGACAAATCCATTGGAAAACTGGGCGAAATGCCTTCGTTTCGGCGGGCGCGCTCGGCAGGTGCAACATTGCCAGGGAGGAAGTAACAGCAGGTGCCTTTTCTTTGTTGTACTCGTATGCTCAATGCTGCGATATTTGCACGGGCGCCCCGTACGCCCACGGGTAGTGCGGTTACCTTGTTGTAACTGTTGTTGTTATTATTATGTTTAATGTTACATTTAACGATTTCGTTTTTTCCACTTTTTTATTTTTAATTTTTTTTCGCATTTACTTTTATCTACCGTTATCGTATTTGCTGCCAAAGTCGCCGACGTCGCTACTGTAAGACTCTTACAAGGCGGGGTTCAGCGCCGCATATTGCCTCTTACCGCTTGGCTTTAATTACCGCCAGTCATTCATGCCACCAAATGCCAATGCCAAATGTCAATTAATAAAACTAATTATGTTTGCCAACTTGTTGAATTAATTGCTTGAGTTTATTAGAGAAAAAATACACTAACAACAATAACAAAAATAAATAGTCAGTTTGCTCTCGTATTTACTACTCACTAAGTGGCGTTGAAAGTGGTTTCCGGGTCACACGTCAGCCACTAGCTTCGGCGAAATTTCATAGTCGCATTTTTTATGCAAATGTCGGTTGAAATAATTTTATTGCGTTTTTACGACACTCGAAAACAAATGAGCAGGTTTCTCACGCCATTGAAGTCCGAAGTCTTAGTCTACTTTCTTTATTTCTTTATTTATTAATTACCCCACAATAAAAGCATGATCTGAGCAAATATAGAAGCTGAGAAGAAGAAGTGTGCGAGGGCCGCTGTGATGTGCACTTAAAGAAATTAGCGACGAAAAGTCAGGGAACGTTCTTTAATGCCATAAAGCACCCGTGGACATAGCTGGCAGATGAATTGCTGCGAAAGTTACTATCAGTATCTGCGAAAAAGAGCACATGACGGGTCAAAGAGAGAATTTGGACCACTGCGCCGCGGAACCAACGCCTTGCCGCATCTTCTCCGCACATGTACTTCTGAGAGATATGTGGGTAGGGCGCAGTCGCTGGAGAAGAGGGTCCGTGAGCTTTTTTACGGATGGACCGAATCTCAAAGGGAAGGTTGGAAAGGTAGTGTTCTGTCAGGAGCTCTAAATCAATTCTTGTTTCAGACTGTCAGACTACAGTAGTATCTGTCAATAGGATGTGGAAGTCATCAAGGTAGCAGCAGATGAACTTCTCTGAAGTGCGGCCTCTTGCAGGTACTTCCGTATAAAATTTGTCTGGGTGGCTGGCCACAACGAAATCGCCGGAAATTGTAAAACTGATAAGCTTTCAATAGAGAGCACCCATACCCATTTTCTGCATATCACAAAGGACAAATGTCTCTAGCCGTCCAAGTGGGACTTTTCGTGGATTCGCATGTAATCAGCCTACTTACCTAACCTAATCATCATTCAGTTTTCTGATTGACTTCGTCCAAAAATTTCTCTCAGTGTTTCCACCAACTCTCATTTAGGACTTTTTCGCTGGTCTAATATGTTTACTATTGGCACACACTGTGCGTAGCTACTCATACATAAATATACGTAGTTTTAGTAACCGCTACTTAATGTCTATGTTTAATCTAGAGAGACCTTCTAACACAATTCAGCCCACAAATTAACTACGCTTAGAAGATCGCATCGCTATTTGGCTAGCAAAGCAAAAGACCATCATTACTTTAGTTAGTAAGCATACTTATTTGTTGAATCTGCATGCTTAAGTAATTGCTATAATTGACCCGGTTAAAGATGGAAATTAGTAGTATATGTGTATAAAATCTTCCACTTTGGGTCAACAGAGATAAAACATAAATGAGACGAATAAACTGGGTAGCACTTAGTAGACGAATATTGAAGAAAACTTTATCTTTTTTTAATTTTATTTTTATAATTTTTTTTATTATTTTTTTTTATTATAACTTTTAATACTACCAAGCACAGTGCTTATACGGAATTTTAACCCAGTTCACAGTTTATTACTTATTTTGCGCGACTGCATTCGAAGTTCTTATTCTCTGTTTTGCGGTCGCAACCTTTGCAGTGAAGGGGAGTAGCCAGCCATGTGCGATTTTCAATGTCGAGCATTCGCTTTTCCATTGTTGCATTGCCGCGGCATGCAAAAGTTACGCGCTCAAAATTTAATTAAACTAGATACTCTCACTAATTGAATAAAGCACCTGCTCTAGCGCGCGCGCACACACAAAGCAACAAAAAGACAGCGCGTTTGCGGCATTCGCATGATGTCATTTGCGTTTGCGAATATTTATTTCATTTAATAATAACGGCTTTCTGAAGAACCTCCCACAAGCGCACACGCAATAAATGGGCGCACACACACGCGCCAGCATATAAACTAACGACGGCTTTTGGAGGCGGTCAGGGAGCGTTAGAGATAGAGCTTAATTTTGCGACTCACGGTCTCTATTGGACGCGGAGACTACAGACTTGGCGACTGCCGCCCAGCAAAACATATACTTATATATATTTCCATGTACTCCCGCTTGTGTGTGAATATTTTCTAATCAAATTATTGGCTCTTGACTCTTGGCGCGTTCTGCGAAATTTGCTGCTGTACAAGCTGTGGCAAGCCGAATTTAATTTGCTGAAATACTTAATTGACATTTAACGGTCGTTTTGTATCCAAAACGTTTGGCGTTCGCCGTAGACATTTTGCAGAAGCACACACATATATGTATATTAGATACAAATTCGTTTGTTTTTGCCTGCTGGCTGCTGTTTTAGTAACACGTAATAATGGTATTAATAAAAATGATGTTACAGCTGCGGGTGGAAGCTCATAAATTAAATGTTTAATTCGCTCTTTCGGTACGATGCCACTTTTTTCTAATGAATTTTTTGCGCTTTGCTGGTGATTTACGCGTTTTAGGCAGACTCGCGCATCGGTCAACACACGCTGATGTCATAAGCTTCCCCGTGACATAATTTGAATTTCAACGGCCCAAAAAATTCAAAGCATGATTATATAAACAGAAGTCAGCAGTCAACATTCCTGTGTTCAATTGAATATTTCTAACAATTATTTGATTTGAAAGCTGTTTRAACAATTCGGCACTCCGCGCCAGCGCCACCGCCACCTGCGCCCTCCATCGCCTCGATCGTTGATTTATCTTCATCAAATGTGAATATTCGCCACTGGGCGCTTAGGTGCTCAGGTTAACGGGCGCACTCGGTGTCGCTTAACATTTCAATAATTACCAACAACAAAAGCACACTGCCACTCTGCGAGTTATGGCCGGACCAGCGAGCGCTTCGGCACTCTAGCTGACTTTTAACACTGACTTGAAGCATTAGCATTGCATATTTTAACAATTTGTAGTATTTGTATTCGCTTTTTGGTTTTTGTGTGTGTTTGTGTGCGTATGGTAAATAAGCGCTCGAACGGTTCAGCGAACTCAGAAATCCAATACCACTCATTACCAGCGCCATTGCCGCCAATTTGCTTTAACACATTCACACACACACGCGCAGGTACAATGCTATTATATGTAGGCATATGTTCATCCATTCTTGTATGTATTTAGTAAATTGAATACTTTTTCGAAAACCAATTTGCAGCTTGAAATATATAGGCCACACACACGCTCATCACTCCTCCATACCTACGAAAAATACCTGCTAACACACAAAAATGAGGCGCCGCCAACTCCTGTAACAACGCAAACGACGTCTGTATGCATCGACACTGTTATGTGTATATGTTCGGCTGTGCATGCGCGCACGCGGCTCCGGTGTGCTTTTTTCTTCTTGCATCGCATCACGCTTCTTGCATTTGTCGTGATCTCGTAAATGTCATTGGGCACTGCTTAATCTCAGTAAGATATGTTTAAATTTGAACAACAAACTCATCGTCGCCTCTAGAGGCCTAGCACTACTTCAAATTGTTGTTGTCGTTGTGACGCTGATTTACCATGCTTTTGAAGGCTGTCTGGGCGCAACTTCGAGTGCATTGTTCATGACTGATTTTGCAACCAAATATTTGCTTAAGCTGTTTAATTTTGCTTCACTTAATTTTTGAGATGATAATCGCGTGGAAGACTTTTATGACTTTTATCTTTTTCATTGAGTTAATTTTTTTTCTCTTTCCCTCTCTCCTCATAGGTGATGATAATCACGCGCTTCTGGTGGCTTCACATAAAAAGGTGAGTAAGAAAATTGAATGGTTGCACATTTCTAACAAATATTGCAAAAGTAGTTTCCAAAATTTTTATTTTGAAAGTCATATGCGGAATTGTAAATAATAGAAAATAATTATAAAATTGCAGTTTTTGTTAAAATATAATTTTAAGATTAATCCAATACGACTTTGTGAACACGGAAGTAGTGAAAACTCAAGTGCAGCGCCTTCTAGGGTTGACAAACGGACTTGACTCGCAGATAAACATTTGGCGTGGCAACATGTGGACAGCTAATTTAGTATTTGCGAAAGTGGGTGCAACGAACGAATATCTATGGCAATATTAAACACACATACATACACATCTATTTGCAGTTAAGCATTGAAATCATTGGATATACAGTAAGCCGCAAATCTAAGGACACACTAGGGGTATTTTTATATTTTACTAATTTTATAGTAGTTTTCTCAAAAATGTAATCACAATATTAATGTTTACTATTCATTTCAATGTTGTTCTTAATACCTATGTAAAAAAAAATGTGGGCTTTTAAATAAATTCCTAAAAATATCTATGTGCACTCAAAATAACCAATTATATGGCAACGCAARACTAAGGGCACACTTGTTGTTTTCTTTGAATAACGGTTCAACGAACACACCAAAGAAACAAAGTTTAGTTGGAGTGTGAAAGGAGCATCGCAGTTAACACGCGTAAATATAAATTTATTGAAATTTTTGTTTTGTAACCTAAATATTTTCGAAAAAAATTGAAAGTATGCCACGTAAGCAGCTCTCCTCGAGGAGAAGCATATTATAATAAATTTGTACGAGAAAGAAAATAAATCCTATGGTGAAATAGTTAAAATAGTGTCTAAAATCGCTTTACTGGTAGAAAAGTCATCCAGCGCAAAATAAAGGAGAACCGGATCGAAAATATGCCTGTAAGTGGCCGGCCACCCGAATTAAGCGAGAAAGATAAGCGACTTATAAAGCGTACCATTGAAAAAAATCCATTTACCAACGCTCCAAAAATTGCAGCAGAGCTAGAGAAATATCAAAACCTTAAAGTTTCGCCCAATACTGTTAGAAGATGCTTAGCTGAACAGGGACTGAAGTCTTGTGTCCCAAGAAAGAAACCGCTTATAAACAAGGTAAATAGAGCAAAGCGCATAGAGTTTGCAAAAACCTATATAAATAAGCCACAAGAGTTCTGGAACAAGGTTATATTCTCTGACGAATCCAAATATAACATATTTGGATCCGATGGTCGTTTAAAAGTGTGGCGTAGAGAAGGAGAAGCTTTGAATCCAAAAAATACAGTGAAGACCGTTAAGCATGGAGGTGGGAGTGTCATGGTATGGGGCTGTATGTCGTCGTCTGGAGTGGGTGATCTCGTATTTATTGACAAAACAAGGAACCAGTACGTTTATTTGGATATATTAAGACACAATCTGCAGCAAAGTGCTTCAAAAATGGGTTTAGCTGACGACTACTACTTCCAACAAGATAATGATCCGAAGCACACAGCCCACAATGTGAAAATGTGGCTTCTCTATAACACACCACATATGCTGAAAACCCCTCCACAAAGCCCAGACCTCAATCCCATAGAGCACATATGGGAAATTTTAGACAGAAATGTGCGAAAACACGAAATTTGAAGCAAGCCACAACTGAAGCAGGTTCTTATGGAGGAGTGGAACAAAACAAGCGCCGAAACCACAAAAACATTGGTAGATTCAGTGGCTAATCGGTTAAAAGCTGTCTTAAACAATAAAGGATACCCTACCAAATATTAAGGTTGTTAAATTTTTAAATAATTTTGATTTTTTTTAATAAATGTCAATTATTTTTATACTTTTGCGGTGCAAATATATGGAGTTACACTAATATTTTTTATATATTTCCCAAATAATGGTAAAAAGTTCCTTAGTTTTTAGTTAGATTGAATTACTACATTTTATTTTTACGATCTCGAATGGTTTTTTGTTAGTTTTTTGTGGCAAATAAAATTTAGTTAAAAAAAAAACTTAAAAATATATTGATGTGTCCTCAGTTTTGCGGCTTACTGTACATACATAAACATATATATAAACGAAGGAAAGGCCCGTAACAGAAACCACTAATATTGAAACAAAATTGGTGGGTTTTTTTTTATAAAATGGTTATATAGTATATTGGTTATCATACAGTTATATTGAAAGAAAAGTAGAGTTTTCGTTATGAAATGGTTATATATTGTTATTATATAATAATTTTTTTTTTTTTTTTTGAAGATACGTTGTTTTGCATTTTGGGTGACGATATGTAGTTTTGTAAATAAAACGACTATTATTTTTAAATTGTGGCATAAAGATATGTGTGAATTGTGTAATGCTTACTTCGCAATATTGCTCGTTCACTAAAAACGCCATTGTCTGCGACCTTAACAATGAAAATGTCGCGTTCTTTGTTTTTTGGATTTTATTAATTTTCATGTTGTGCTGACATCTGGCACCCACGGGGCAATAAATCGCGCGAATAATGCGCAGAATTCAGCAAAAGCCACTCCACATCTGCCCAGTATCCCCCTCGCCAATTTTTTGCCTAACAACAATTGCATCACTTAGTTTTACGAGCGCACAATAGGCTTTTATTAAATAATTGCCAATAGAAACCACAAACATGGAAAACTAAATTAGAGTCGAAACAAAAGCACACTCGCCGCCATTTATTGGTGGCTTAAACGCCGCTGCCGTCGTGTATGTACATCAATTTAGCTGCCCGGTTGCTCGGTTGCACGGTTGCAAGTGCGCAATAGTTCAATTACCTGGCCCATTAAGCGAAACTGTGGATTGTGGCGTGCGTGTGGGTGCCCACCATGGACTGTTTGCTGCATGAGTCAAGCGGCTGCCGGTGTTGTGCCGCTCGGTTGCACAACTGGCGGGTAGAAGCTAAGCGCTGACGGTGCTGCTGGCTTCCACTCTTGCTTTTGTTTTTGTCACCGCAAGCAGCCGCTCAGATTTCCAAGTTTGAAATATGAAACGCGCTTGCACACATACATACACACACATAAGCATGTGGAAAATAAGCATCAGTAAAGAACAATGAAAGGGGAAATGCTTTGCGAGCATCGCTGCTGCTGCCGCCACTGTCTCTGCGGTCTCTGCTGCTGCAGCAGCGTGTTCTTGGCTTTGAAAAGTTTTGCCACAAAGAGGCATTTGTCATAAATAGGGCTCTGCGTTGAGGAATTCTCGTACGTGTGTTTATGCGCAAGCTCTATTATTTCTACTCGTGCGAGATTATACATACTTTTTTTTATGTATGCATGTATGTGTGTGTGTATGTGTCGGTAGTAAGGCTGCGAGCATTCGTACTAGTCCGTCTAGCTTGGCTGCTTGTTTTAGTGAATTCATTTCATTTTCCATGTTGCTATTGCATTAAGCTGCAGTGCGTGACAAGTATCACCGCTTAGTAGCAACAACAGTATGGCTCAGCGCTGAGGTTAGCAAGCAGTCAGTGTCGGAGTAGAATTTTATTGCAAATTCTATTCTGTTCACTCGCCAGTTTTGCATTTTTGCATTTGCAATATTCCAACAGCCACCGCATACACACACACACATATACATATATATGTATGTATAGTATATATACTTTTCGCTGGAACGAGTATAATTAGTAGCGTATTACAAATTGCTCAACGACACATTTAGTATGAAGGAAATTTCTGCAATTGCTAATAAATGCCAATTAATTCGCCTTAATTAATTGTTGGCCATTTTCATGTTTTTGTTATTGCTTCAGTTTGTACTGTTGACAATGACCTTTGTAGTTGTTTCATGGCTGGGCGGCTTACGTAGAATGTTGAAATTGCTTTATTCTCAGAAAAACGAAAGTTCTCTGACAGAAAAGTGACGGAAAAATGAGTTACAGATGTACCAGGTTGCGAATTTTTTCATTCAAAAATTTTGCATTTAAACTTTTCAATTGATCTCTTCAATAAAATAGAGATCTTCCTCTTCCTTTGCTTCCCTAGGCGGGTACTGCGTCGAATACTTTCAGAGTTGAAGTATTTTAGTCCATTCCGACGACATGACATAGCCAGCGCAGCCTAGCGTATTTTCTCCAAGCGTTCATTGAACAAGTCGCACGATAGTGAGTCGCCTTGTCTGAAACCTAGTTTGGTATCAAACGGCGCCATAAGGTCCCTCCCGCTCCTGACGGAGGTTTTGGTATAGCTCAACGTCAGTTAAGACAGCCATGGTAGTTTTGCGGGGATACTAAATTCAGATATCGCGGCATAAAGGCAGCTGCTTTTCGGTGGTGTGTGGGTTGATCCTTTTCCAAGATTTCCAATACGCTCGATAGAACCTTTGACGCGATGAGGAGGCTTATCTAACGGTAGTTGGCACAGATTTTGGAGTCTCTCTTTTTGGGGTTAAGGCAAAGCACACTTAAATTACAATCGTGTGGCATCCTTTCGTCCGAGCATATTCTACAAAGTAACTGATGCATGGCTGGTAAGGAGAGTTCTTCGCCACCATATTTGCATAGCTCGGCCCGGCAATCCCACCGTTTTGTTGTTCCTCAAACGGATAATTGAAATTCGTACTTCTTCATGGTCGGCCAATAGAACGTCCTCTCAATCGTCGTCGGTAAATGATCAGTCCGTCTGCTTTTACGTGAACTCATCCCTCAGTTTTTGAGACTTCGGTCTGAAATTTTGCACATATCCTTTTCCCAACTGGAAGCTGCTCATTTGTCGGACCCCTTATCGGCCTATTATAACATAAGCTGTCATATAAACCGAACGATCAGAATCAAATTATTGTTTTCTTTGAATTCTTTCTATTTGTGAAGGTTATTGCAGCTTCGCTGCAACCGCGTTAACTTTTTTCATATTATTCATTTTTTACATAACATTTTTGGGAGATTAGAGGTTTTTTGCAATAAAATGTCCTCAGGCCACAACGTAAGAAAATAAATCAATTCTGCCTTTCTGTTTGTCCAGGTCAATAGGTTGTTGTTRTTATGAAATGCAGT